TCGCATATCTGAACTTTGTACATGGTGCTCTATCCTATACTCTCGCAACTGACCTCGACAAGTGCGTAATCTAACTTATTTATTATTACTTGTCTAAATAGTCTGACAGGAGTCGCACAACCTGGAAGAATGTTCGTGACGCTGAAGCTGCATTAGCTCCTCGACGAGCAGCACGCCAAAACCTCACGAATCAAATGAACAAGCTCAAGACCGAAGGTGGTCGTACTGGGGGAGTGGATACTAAACTGCAAGAGCTCGAAGCACAGATCAAAAAGGCCGATTCCGACGACGCACCACTCGAGAAGGAGCTAGAGCTTTTGAAGAGGACGGCAATCAGAGAAAGCGAGACTTTGAAATGGAAAGCCCTTAAAGAGGTAAAATTTTTATCATGTCATTGTTTCACGGGTCGCTAAATTCGTTTCCAGTATGGCCAAAAGCTTGCGCTACTCGCCACTGCATCCGAGCAATTGCTTCGAGTCTTGCCATCGTCGCCACCCGAGCAGTACACAGGCAATCAGCAGACCGCAGCAGTCAGAGCTGCTCTCCAAAACGCACTTGATAGCGGCTATGCACCAAAGGAGGAGCACCTTCCCTTAAACGTTGGCAATGAAATTGGGGAAACGCGCAGTTTCGGAGAGACTCATGCAAGCGAACTTACTACAATTAATACGGTTACGGATAACGGACACGAAGGTACTGCCCCCATTAATCCCGCTGCGCTTAACAACGCTCCTGCACCGCTCCCATCGACTTCCGCTGCTACTACACACTATAATGCACCAACTACTGCCCCGACTCCTCACTATGCTGCTCCTTCCATGGGTCCTCCTTCCTCTACGACACATGCCACTCACTATTCACCTCCCACTGCAGCTCCCGGGAACACGACCTCCAGTACCTCTGTACCGCATGCACCGACTGTAGCTGAGACCGGAGTTCCAGTAACTGCGGGCGCAGAAGGACCAGGCCCAGCAACTGGAACATTGAATCCGTCTGCCACGGAAGAAGTTCGTGACCGACCTGGTGTGGGCTATGGTGTGGGCACCCATGAACAAGCTCCTGCTTACGGAGGAGGAACAGCTCCTTCCACCACGACACATGAGTCTGCTGAGGATGAGAAGCGCCGCTTGGCAGCAGCCGACCAGGCTCAAACTCATGCAAATGCTGGAAGTCATCAGGGTGGCTTAGTAGCATCCACATCTACGAGACGTCCACCAGCACACGAGAGTGCAGAGGATGAAAAAAGGCGTCTGGAGCGAGAGGAGCGTGAAAGGGTTCTCCAGCAGAGCAACAACTCTAGAGGAAATACCCAAGATGATACGGATCCAAATGGTGGAGCTCCCCCTGCGTACCATGATTAGACATCAAACGATTTTAAGATTACAAGTAGAACTGTAAAGGACATTCACGTTTATGAATTGAACGAACTTTGATACCTTAGTTTATTTTGAACCCCCAGCCTCAATCGTCATGTAACTCGGTAGGCGCGGGTTTGGCGCCTACCACTCACATATCCTAGACATCGTCCTGCTCCTTCAGTTTCACAATCTCTTCTCGGATGGCTTCTTCAGCGCGCCTTGCCTTCTCCTCTGCCTCTTGCTTTAACTTTTCGGCCTCCATCTCTTCACGCACTGACACAACAGCCGCCAATCTCTGGTCATCTAATTCCCTCCGTAATCGAGAAAGCCTTTCCTCTTCTTCTTTTCGCCA